CTTCTTCAAGTGCCCTTAGCTTGTATTTATATCTTGGAATGTGTTTGATGTTGTATATACCTATGTTGCGATCAACGCGAAAGTCAAATTCGCAAACCGAAAATCATGTTGCGAATTTTTACCTTCAACAGGTCTTTTTTGCCTTCAAACATAATGCATATTGAATTTTTTAGAAATAACAAATCAACTTTTACAAATCAATTAAACAAGCAAAAAAATAATTCTTATTTACAAATCAAATTAAACAAATCAACTTTTACAAATCAATTAATCAAAAAATAAATCTTATTTCCTCATCAATTGTAACAAATCAACTTTCAATGTAAAATTCAATTAAACAAAGAAAAAAAAGTGTACCCCAGACTATTGTTTATGCACAAATACATTTCACGCAGCTCACTTCAGGATTAACCTGCAGAAACCAAACATTTGCTCAAACAACACTTTCTACACATCTAAAACCAACAAACAACAAATTACTGAATTCTAGGTACTTAACCAAATATTTTCAAACCAATTAAAGAGTATATATGTTAACAACACTTGCTCAAACTTACTAATTGTTTATGTACAACTTTCAGCACGCTGATGCAGGTAGGCAGTGTCTCATATATACCGATCTGGCCATATAATGCCGAAACCACAAGCCTACTGCAGCTCTATCTCTATCTGTGGGAGGTAGATATTATATACTTCTTGTAGTCAAACATTTCAAGCACAAGCATACAAGAGGACAACAATCCCCTCTGGCTCCATGCGTTTGTTGTGGCGCAATCTCGTCTCTGATCATTGTAATTTTGAACTTCTTTGGCTTCTTGTTTCCAGATTTTGTCCAATAATCAATCGCATTCAAGTATTTAGCCAAATGATCGCTCCATCTCTTTGTAATAATATCTCTCAAATCATACAATGGTATGTAATTCAACATGCTGTCATATACCATTATCTTCAGGGATGGGAGCTGAAGCTCGACGAGAAGCCAATGACGATGTTCCAAAAAAGGGATAAACACCTGCAATCATAAATAATTGCGCACATCAAATAAAATTTATGAAAACCTTTAAAATATTCAAAAAATAAATACTAACCTTATCGACCTCCCACCACGCAGGATAAAGTTTAGCTTTTCCATTAGCCAACTTATATGAAGCATCTCTCTGATCCTTCAAGTGAGCTGTGTGAAAAGACGTCGGCATAATAGTCCATCGAGTACCTCTTTTCTTCAATTTCCTTATTATTAGAAGACGTGACACCCATGCATCAATATGCTGTTTTATAAAAAAAAAAATATGTTAGTGAATTTATTAATAATTTAAAAAAAATTAATCAAAATGCAATATAAGAATAATATAATACTTACCCCCCTTCGAGGTAGCCATTATCTTCAACCCCTAATAAAATACCCCATCAAGACCGATCAAGAAACAAATGAATAGCATCGTCGATTTGGCATAGGTCAGAAGAACACCCCTTACTCCGCTCATGTAGATAAAAATCAACTACGGTCTTAGCCCAAAGGGTATTATCCGTAATTGTGTCCGGTAGTGTTTCCATCTCCTGCTGAGGAATGGTACTGGCCGGTAACTCATACGAAAGCCAACACGCATCCATCATATCAGGCACGAGAGGTGGTTTATCAATATATCGACATATGACGCCAAATGAATCGAGATCTTGAACGGCGGGTGGGACCACTTGAACGATGACAGGGGCCTCTTGAACGGTGGGAGGGACTTCTTCGATGATGAGATGGGCCTCTTGAACGATAGGAGGCGCCTCTTGAATGATGATAGGTGCATCGGGGCTATTTTTACGGAGTCTTGGCACTAGTGGGGTGAACGGAGACGTAATGGCACGTGCACGACTTCTGATGCGTGAACCCCTTCGTGTAAGAAAAACCCAAAGTAAAACATCTACCTTAACGGGCCGCTGAAAATAAATTAATATATAAATCAGTAAATAAATAAATAATGCCGAAAAAAAGTTATTTGTATTTTTAGTATAGTATTAAACAAATTTACCTCATTGCTTAGAGTATTAACCTCATTCTGCAACAATGAAACAATCTCGCGTAGAGCGGCAACCTCATCACGTAAGGTAGATACCTCACCGCGTAGTGCACCATTGTCATCGCGTAAAAAATCCACCTCACCACGTAAAGATCGAACCTCATCACACCATGCACCATTATCTTCACGTAAAGTACCGATCTCATGACGCAAAGCACCGACCTCATCACGTAATTCCCCTAACTCATCCCGTGGAGGTGGAGAACAGGGAGATAAATGTCGTGGCCTCTTTGCCGGTCTCCTATCATGAGGTGATAGTGGAGAAGAAGCTCGATGATGTGATGGAATAGGTGATGGTGGAGGTGGAGAAGAGGCTCGATCAGGTGATGGCTCCGGGTGTCGAGCTGTAGAATCGATCCGAATAGGTGATGGCTCTCGAGGTGGGGGGGTGCTCATCATCCGTCCCATCAAAAAATTGCTTACTAGCTTGCCACCAATCAGTGGCAAGCTCAGCCTCTGTGGGTGTCAGCCTCTGTAATGGATAGTTGGCCACCTAACAATATAAAAGCTCAAACAAAGTTAAACTTGTACTAGTAATAACTTGTTTATATGGTATTATTTGTGTGTTAGCTTACATCATTCATCGTCGTATATGGGAGTAACTCTTCCCAATCCAACATGCGGATCCTCTTCCAGGTAATAGCCCTAGGAATATCATTTGATCTTTTTATCGCATATGTCCGCATGCTGGGGAAAGCCTCAAATATCCAAATTTACAAACAATATAATACACAAACATTAGTAATTGTTAAATAATTAATTATAATTTTGAAAACATTATAATATAGAAATATTTACCTTAAAGGCCCAAGTAAAGCCTGTCAAAGTGTATTTAGAACCATCTCTCCGCAAACTTTTTCGGTCCTTAAAGGCAGACGACAACTTCTTCCAGGTAGCTTTCCATAGATATGAACCCCACGGAAACAGGTTCCATAAATTTAGGTCATCTACCAATAATATTAGGTCCTCGGAGATTGGTTGTCTGCCCTCTTTGCCTAAAAAGATGGCATGCAAAAGTAATAAATGGCATACTCGGACAACATCAAGGTCATCCATCCGAGTAAAACCATCTTTATCAAATAATCTCTTCAAGTCATCGACGTGTATACTCGGCTTCGACTTTGCCAGCTCAGGAAAAACCCGATATAACCATGATGGGCGAGCGATATAACTAGTGTACCGACCTACATCATCGTGTCTGAAGCGTAGACCGGTGATTAAACAAAACTCCTCCCGCCCAAAACAAGTATACGCCTATGCCGGAGGAAAATGAAACCATATCTCCTCATCACCACGTTGTACCCCCTCGGGTAGATCGTTAGTCATGGTCCGAAGAAACAAATGTGTCAACATAGCATCTCCACCCGTATGTTGCACTTTCAGCCATGGCCCGAAGCAAGTATCCTCAAACAATTTTCTTTGTAGAGGTGTAAGCATCGACGCAATTTTAGTGGCTAGGCTTAATTTATTCCTTAAGGTCAATGCAGCCGAAAAAATTTCTTACAAAAACAATAAACATACAAAGTTAGATATACCAAAAACTACAAATTATATACTATAAACAGACATGATATTAAACAGTGAAAACAAAGCCAAATATGTTTCAAACTAGCACGGTATTCACCCAAGTCATTATTCCATCATAGTTCACAAAATGCATCAGATAACATTCCGGAAGTAAGCACTTATATAAACATTTAAAAGGACAACATATAGGTTTAGTGCAGGTTCAAGGACAACATAAAGAGTAGTAGTTTATTCTTGAAACTTAAATTAGCAACACTGTGAAGTTAGTATTTGTTTTTGTTTTTTGGTTGAAGTAATACAATTCATTCAAGTTTCAATTTGGCGAATAAAAGAAATTTCAATTAGCATATTTTGTTGGGAATTAAAGACTGTTTTTATTTTTGACTTTTTCAGGCAGCCAATGTTGGATTTTTCAGAGTATTTGCACTGGTTAGTGATGAATTTGTTTCTCATCATTTCTGAGCATGGATTTCTATGACCACCTAGCAATGATCTCCCCCCCCCCCCTTTTTAAATTTCAGGCAAAGCGAGAAGCTGGGACGATAACCATTGCCACCATTGCATTATTGATTGGATCAGTCACAAGTCTCTTGATTGTATGTTGTTTCTTATATCAGACTTTAGTCTCTTTATGTCCCAATTCTTCATTTTTGTTCTTCAAACTCAGTTTTTTATCTTCTACCGTGATCATAATAAATGATTATTTAGATGAAAAATGAGTTAAAAAAACTCATTGTTGTTAACCAAAAGACACATTTTAGGAGTAGGATTGGCTCATTGTTGTCTATTTATGCTTAAAAAATGTCATTTTGGTTCATTTTGTTTATAGTTGAGCGATTTGTTTCTGTGGCCCCGAATTTGTATTTCCATCATTCAGAGAATCTCTACTTCTGCTGTTGAAATGAACCCAAATTTGAACTAAAACTGCAAAATGCAAAACTCATCATGATGTATGTAAACTTAACTATTTCCCCCTTTGAACCACTAGCTGCCCTTATTTCTCGTACCATTTCCCCCATGAAATCCAATAGGAAAAAGGAAATTTGTTTAATGGTAACCTATTTTACACAGAATGTCACATATTGTAGCTTATAGGTTCAGTGTCTGGTTTTTAAACAAGTATATTGCATTGCCTTCTGAAAAGTGAAAGAAATGTAATGTAATGCAAGATTTTGAGTTGTTCTGTCAGGCATTCTCTATTTTGTTTTCCCTTTCTTCCAGATATTAAGAAAGCATAAATTGCATGACAAAGGAATTCTTGTACTTCAAACTCTATTTTCCAGCACGATCGAACTGGAAATGTTCATATGAGACCATTTCAGAAATCTAGGGCAGAATTTAACTTTGAAATAAGTTTCGGTCCTGCCGATACTCATTCGTTTCCTCATTTTGCATAATGTTAAAATGCTTATATTGCAGCCTAAATATGGTGGAATGATCATAGACATTGTTTCAAAAGATACAAGGACACCTGAACAGCAATCAGATGCCCTGCAAGCTGTCAAGAACACTGTAGTTTACATTGTGGTGATCGTTGTAGTAGGGTATTCTTTTCCTTTTTTGATTTTCAGGTTCTAGTATTCTACTAATTTCCTTTTATTTCTAGTTATATCTTTTTTAATAATTGGACATTCATTGGTTTGTCATAGATTATCTTAAAAACAATATCGAATTATCTTACCTCAAACTTCATGTTTTTCGCTTGCTATATTGCAAATGTTGATCTTATAGCGAAGTTCCTACTAAAATCTTAATTAGTTTTTGCATATCAAGAATGTGTGGAGATCTAGTAAGAAATTAGATACCAAATCCTTCTAGAGGGCTGTAATATATTATATCATGCTTGATGATACTGCTGCTCACATGTCAGATGCTTCACCAATTCAGAATTTGAAACTTAATTTTTTTCCTTTGGAGATTTGCAAAATACTTTCTGGAGTATGCCAAACATATACTGAACCTAAAAATATCGTCTTAAGAATGAGTTTATGATGATGTAATTTAGTTTAAGATCCGTTCTGTTTTAGGAATTTCCATATCTCTATTTCCTTAATCTCGTGTCCCTATTCGTGCATCAAAGTTAAATTCTCTAGTACTTGATCTTTTAGCTTCAAAAGTTTGACGCTACAGTTCTTTTTCTCTCATCTGTTTAGGTCTTTGTGCACAGCACTTCGGTCATGGCTTTTTAGTTCTTCCAGCGAACGGGTAGTAGCTCGCCTTAGGAGAGACTTATTCAGTCATCTTATTCATCAGGTCAGGCCAATTAGATCAGCAACTAGTTGTACACCATCCCATGTTAATGATTACTGCACTGAATTTTAAAATTCATGGTTCATGTAACCAATGATTTGATTGTTATTCTGCTCATAGCTCATATCTGACTTCTCTCCAAACTCGATTTTCAGAAATATTGATCCTAAATTGTTGACAGGAAATAGCCTTCTTTGATGTTACTCGAACAGGGGAACTCCTCAGCAGGCTATCTGAGGACACCCAGGTCATTAAAAATGCAGCAACAACCAATCTTTCTGAGGCACTCTGTAATCTAACGACAGCCTGTATTGGTGTTTTCATGTTTTCATCATCTTGGAAATTAACATGTATGCGATTTTTTTGGTTCAATACCCTCTATCAAATCAGCGTAGCACACTCATAGTAGCTTTTTGTTTCTCTTAGTACTATCCTTGGCTGTAATACCTGTTATTTCTGTTGCTATACAAAAATGTGGTCGCTACCTGGAGGAACTTTCACACTCAACACAAGCTGCAGCTGCAGTAGCAGTATCAATTGCTGAGGTCTGTATCAAATATATCTGATTTCCTCTATATTTGGTAAGGTCATTATCGTTTATTTGATAGTCTATCCCTTCATTAGCTACTTTAATATTTAGGAATCTTTTGGAGCAATTCGGACAGTCAGGTCATTTGCTCAAGAAGGTTTTGCGATATCAAACTACTCTGAAAAAGTTGACGAGACACTGAAGCTTGGACTAAAACAAGCTGTGAGTTTGAGGATGCTAACGCTTGCTCTCTCGCACACATATATATTCCTGTCACACGCACAATGTCGGAAGCTAAACATTGCATAAATTCTACTGTTCTATTCAACAGAAAGTAGTCGGTCTATTCTTTGGAGGAGTAAATGCTGCATTCACATGTTCTGTTATGGTCGTCGTGACCTATGGTGCCTACTTGACAATAATGGGATCTATGACAGTGGGTTCTCTCACATCCTTCATCCTTTATAGCCTCACAGGTACTTCCTCAGTGTTCGAGTTTTGCTCAGTTTCTGGTCATTTATGATCCTGAAAGCATTTCATCTCATTATTGTTGATATATGGTAAACATTCAAAGCTTAACTGATCGGGGAGTTTATAAACGGATTGCCTTCATTGGCAGGATTTTGCCACTCAAATTTTCATGTAGTACCTCTCTCCACCTGCAGTTGGATCCGCAGTTTCCTCTTTATCTGGATTATATTCAACTGCCATGAAAGCTGCAGGGGCAAGTAGGAGAGTTTTCCAGCTCCTAGATCGTGTGTCAATCATGCCGAAATCGGAGAAAAACGCCCAGAAGGGTAAGTCACATTACAATATAAATGAAAATATCCTAAGTTTTATAGCAATTCTCATAACAATGAAAATCAAGAATACCATTTATGTGAAGACTTTGATTGCTTATGGTTCATGATATTATATTTTTCAATGACAGAAATCCTGATGGAGATTTAGAGTTGAAAGATGTCTGGTTTGCATATCCTTCTCGACCAAGTCATATGATACTAAAGGTAATGATTTTCCTTGTTAATACCATGGTGCTGGATTTGGTTCAGTTGGGGCCCCCCTTTTAGGAATGCAGCATGATAAAATTGAAGACCAGGGTAAAACAAGGGCCAAATGGAAGTACATAGACTGGCATTGCTCAAGCCAAGAAATTGTAATAGAGCAGACACTTGTAATTGGGAGTTTAATTTATGTATCAACTTCTTCAATTATGATTTTTTCGATTTTCGTGCCTCAAGATTTGAATCGATTGACACTGTTTCAGGGGATATCATTGAAACTAAAGCCTGGTTCCAAAGTTGCCCTTGTTGGACCAAGTGGTGGTGGAAAAGTAGCATTATCATCCCTTTCCCTCTTACTGTTTTTCCATTTTTCTCTGTTGGAGTGTTTCAAACGTTGATATCCTAAATTTCTTATCTTTCGCAGACCACAATTGCGAACGTAATCGAGAGATTTTATGATCCTTTGAAGGGAGAGATTTTGTTAAATGGGGTTCCTTTAGTGGAAATATCACATGAATACCTTCACAAACAGGTAAGAATCTGCGTTTCTGGCATCTTTCAAAGTATGAATTGCTTTCATAAAGAACTTGATTATATCGATGTACCGAGCTTTCTTGAACACCCCAATTCTTCTTGCCTTTTTGGAATACAGGTAAGTATAGTTAGCCAGGAGCCTGTTCTCTTCAATTGTTCTATAGAGGAGAACATTGCCTATGGGTTCTGTGGGAAAGCGAGCAGTTCAGAAATAGAATCTGTAGCTGTGAGTTTTTATCATGTTCTAGCTTCTTCCACTTTGATTGATATCTGTAAGCCGTCTTCATGGGTTTCAGTTTTTTTTGTGTAATCTGATAAACTACAATGGTGCAGAAAATGGCTAATGCTCATGACTTCATAGACAAATTTCCTGAGAAGTATCAAACAATGGTCGGAGAACGTGGTTTGAGGCTCTCAGGAGGCCAGAAACAAAGAGTAGCCATTGCGAGAGCACTATTGATGAATCCGAAAGTTTTGCTGTTGGATGAAGCCACGAGTGCTCTGGATGCTGAAAGTGAATACCTTGTCCAGGTGAGACGGAAGTTGCTGGATTTATCTTTCTATTCGATCCCGCTCTCTACCGAATTAAATTCTAACTAATAATTTTTCTCTGGATAGGATGCCATGGATTCATTGATGAGGGGTAGAACTGTTCTGGTCATAGCACATAGGCTATCTACAGTCCAAAGTGCAGACACCGTAGTTGTCATATCTGAGGGAGAGATAGCTGAAAGCGGAACCCATGAAGATCTTCTGCGGGAGAATGATATCTACACGGCGCTGGTTAGGAGGCAACTACTAGGTCCAAGCACCAAAGTGTAGTTCCAAAACAATATCCAAGTACAAGAATATCAAATTTCTGCAGCATACATGTTAAAACAAAGAGTAGTTTCCTAGAATTCCAAGAAACAAATCACAGCATCACTTGATGTGGATGGAAAATTTATATGTATTTAGAAAGTAATCAACTATTCTGAACCTGGGAACATGTTCATTGACTTAACTCCGATCTTCCGTGGCAAAAACCGGGGCATGGGGTTATGGACTGAGCTCTACAAGTAGCTAGCATTCATAAAAATAATATGCCAACATTCTGTACAATCTAATGCCATCAGCTCGCCAACTTACTAATAAATTACGAGGATACGAGTAAGGCTTATTTTACTATCTCAACGACTGACGACCTGCATGAAAAGTGCTCCCTTTATTACTACTCTTGTGTTGTTCTAACTCTAGATATTTTTCTAGAAATGTCTGTTTAATTAAAGATTGAAAATTGGTGAGTAAAAGAGCTAAGGGAAGTTACGAAAGAAAGATTTGTTCTAATTCTAGATATTCAAATTTCAACCTGACTCGAACTCGAAAACCGAATTAAAAACTCAAGTTGACTTGAATAACTCGAAATTAAAGGAAATCATATTTTCGAGACAAATTTAGTTCACCTTCACCCCTAATCCAAATTATTAATTCTTGAAGCTTGCTGTAATTATTATTTGTGCACAAGATAGAATACAGAAATGCGGAGTCAAAATTTCCATTTCATTATTCAACAAAAACCATAACTTAAATCTGATGTATACTGTTGGGAAAACAAACATAAATACTAGGTATAACAAAAACGCTCTACCGAATTGCCAGCCCTTGCATCGCCTGTGACCTTCTTCCACAACCTTGTTTGCTTCAATGGTGCTGATGAGGCTTGCAACATTCCCCTGCTCCATCAAATCAAACCCAAGTCCAACATTCGAACAGATGAATGGCTATATAACTAGTGAAATCATTTTCCTTCACAACTGCTAACTATCCGAGTCACATTAAGTAAAGAAAAGAAACGAGTGAATATTGAAATTCCTTACCCTCCATGTTGCTAGTTTGGATTGAAGGGAATGCCATTGTTGCTGTCCAAAAAGACGCTCAATACAGCGGCTGCATGTTAAACAAAGAGTTGGATTGCTTATTAATTAGAAGAAAAAGCCCCCATATTAATCTAATGGGCAAAGGAATGAAATCATATAAGCATATGAGAGAGACAGAGAGCTAACAGCTTACCTCACAATCACAACCTGATTCATCTGATCCATTTTACACTACATTAACTTAGCAGTTATTGCCTTAACAACCCACAGTTCCACCTCATCATCATTGATCTACAAAAGGATATAAAGCAATTTAAAAAAAAAACCTATATTATGCATCAAATGCTGTAAACAGGAAGCTAAGCAACTTTGCCCTTAGAATATCCTTGATGAGGGCGTATGGAATTCCTCTAGATTCATTACACCCCAGATCAACCAATGACATCAACCTCATCTTTGTTATACAATCTTCATGAACAAGACCTGAAACATGGAGAGCGGCAATATTGAAATTAAATAAATTACCAATGAACTTTAGCCCATGTAAAAGCCTGTACAGTAGGTAAAATGGAAGACAAAGCATTACCATAACTTTTCAATAAGGTGATAAAAAACCCATTAATGTCACTTGGTACATAGGTGATAAAAAGGAAAAAGCTTAATTATTACATGAGTTTTCAAATGGTTTGTCTAACATAAGGAAAGACAAGTAAAACACATGTACAAAACAATACCTCTCCATAATAAGCAATATATATTCCTTCTCTTTGTTAAAATTATGCCATGTGAGTGGCTAAAAATTCCCCCTTGAAGCTATTCTATTGTGAACCCATGTCTCAAAGCATGAGGAAAAACTAACACTCCAACCAAACGTAGCATAACTAATCTATATCCAAAAAGCACTTGTACAAATACTAAGCTGCAATGTAGGAACAAGACAATCCACATATTTAAAAAGATTTAGGGGGAAGCAGAGAAAGTGTAAAAGCCAGAATGGAAAGGGGGGGACGTCCGAGGGAGCAAAGAAATGACTACAATAGAATAAGCTTAAAATGAAAATCCATGAATTTTATACATATAGATCAGCTAGGATCTGCAACATAGTAAGATTAAGATACCTGAAATGTGTCGGGAGCCTTCACAAATTCTACAATAGCATGCACAGCTTCCTCCTTGGCTTCACTCATTACATATGAATCCTCACCAGAGAAAGTTGCCAAATACTTGGTCAAGAATTTGAAAGAATCCTTTCCTGAGCTGTATTTGAAGTACATATAAGAGAGCTACAAAAGTAACAGAACTTATAATCGCATATAGGTAAGGGCATCTTATTGTATGCTTTGGGGTTGTTATATACCTTTTGTTTTCTTTAAGTACATTTGCAACGGTAAGACAGAGGTTCCTTTGATCCTTGATCCCAATATTCCACTCCTTCAAGAAACTATCAATCTTCTTGAAAGATGATACAATATGATCAGTGACTGCCCCATTCAATGCCAAAGTTAAGGCTTGCATGTACACAAAGAACCGGCTATCCGGACCTTCCAATAAATTATATAGATCAAACAAGCTGGAAAGAAGAAAAAAAAGAAACATGAGAGAGAAAGATGTTAAAAATTCAATAAGCTAGAAATATGGACATCATTGGACATTACATCTTTAGACGCATTGCAGGCTTATCAGTTGGTTGAGTGATTTTTGTAGATATGAGTTTTGCCACCTCAAGTTCTTCATTTGGATTTTTGAGATTCGATACTAGATTGCAGATGACGGTGAAGATACACTCAAGATCTGAAGAAATATAATAAAAGAAATTAATTAATTGCAAAAACTAGAACTTCAATGCAAATTTATGAATTATCTATCACAGCATTGTAGAAATCAATTTTTTTTATAAAAGTTTGAGGACTCATTAAAAACTCCATTCGTATTCGTCCACATACTAACAAGTATGGTAACGAACATTGGAAGGAAGAAAAGAGTATCTCATATTTCATTAAATAAACCACCAAGTACATATGAAAACACGAAATACCCTCAAAATGGGATAGACACCATTACGAAAAAAACAAAATCACCTAAAACTCTCATCTCCTTAACCACAAATCCCAAGATACAATCACACTATTGCTAAGTTGCACCTCCAACAAAAGAAAAAACAAGCCAACACCTAAGGACATAATAGAACAGAATAAACAACACCTCAACTCATAAAAACGAAATCAACCGACTTTAAAGAGAACTCCACTGAAAGCACCATTACGAACCAAAGCCACAAAAAAAAAATTCAGGTCCTAAAGAAATCGTCAATGGAACAAAACCAGACTTCCTTCCCATCATTTAATATGTCCTTGCAACTTAATTCAAAACTCCTTTCTTTTGCTTGCATTTCTTCAGAACACGATTTCTTCTTAGTTTCCCAGGGAGAGGGGTACTGCTGAGGAATCTCTCTGTAATCGTATTGCATCATCGGAAAGACCATTAGAAGGAAAGAGACCCATCATAAGAACATCTTCTGAGGCCCAGGGACCGAATCCATCAGAATAGTTAACTGATTTATGAACACGATGCTCCACAATATTTAAGTCGGAATGATTCATATCCTTCGTTGATTGAAACCCTGAATCATAACAATGGGATGAAGACAATCCTAACCCAACACCGGCAGACCAACTTTTAATTACATCTTCCTCACCAATTTTGTTACTCGAATTCTCAACACCTTTAACACTCTTCCTGAGTGAAACCTTTTCTAGGCTAGTGGCTTCAATTGCAACATCTTGATCGGAGCATTTTAATCCTGAGGAGAACATCGTTGTCCCTGACTGAGAATTGTCTGGCGAATCCCCAAGAGAACAAACAAGATCTAATGAGTCATCGCATTCCTCAAGTACCCAAGACTTTGGTTTGAAGAAAGACTCAATTTCATGAACCAGTATTTTAAAGAAATTAGCACCGATCTTCAAATCAAACGACTCATCAATTCTCACTTTAGCCTTTGTGAGGATTTAAATTTTTGCTCGATCAAAAGACGAAGGAAATTGAGAGCTTTCGTCGATTGCTGATAAATTACCCCACCTAGCTACAATGTTTTTGAAAGTATCCCAATTCCAGGCGTGAAAAGGAATTCCTTTGCAAACTAACCACACTCGACGACACTCCACCACCAGACTCTCCGACCAAGCAACAACTTTGGAAAACCACTCTGCAAAAGTCTCTAATTTTTCATTCTTTACCTTCCTCAACGTAGCAGTCTTCAAATATCAATAGACGACATTCCCAGCAGCTCTCACTAACGAGAAACCAGCGAGACCTTTGTCTTGCATTTGGCTAGCAAGATTACCGATTTTGATATATTTCTTACACCACCCCATTAGACAGTTTCCCAATACTTGAAGTTTATCTTCGTCAACAACCCCATCAACTGCATAGGGATTATTTCTCGTAACAACTGCCCTCTCCGACTCTCGTTGGACAGCTGGCGAGGACTTTCTCCAAAAAGATCGTCGGGGGTTGTATTTAGCCATAGAGACACCAATTGTAGAAGTCATATTTGAACAACAACAAAAAAACATAGTAGAATTCATACAAGTCCTGGGTATCCTCACAGAATGTTAATAGTATCAACTCAACTCGTAGAATTCATACAAGTCCTAGGTATCCTCACAGAATGTTAATAGTATCAACTCAATTCACTTCCAATTTTCCATTGCAACTCAAATGAAAAATTCTGAAAAAAGTAAAACAAGGGAATTCTAAAGAACATTCAATCCGTCTTATCTATACTAATTACACAAAATTTATTCAGAAGGTCTAAGTACTGTCTTGGAGAACAAAATCTCAAGTATTATGCCAAGAAAATAAGTTGCAGAAATACTAAATGTTACAGAATCATAATTTCCAAAGTATCTATAATCTCGGAACAAACATCACCGTGTAATAAAACTCCATTTTTTACTGTTGCTTTTG